CACAAGAAGCCAGGGGGTGTGGGGCGGGGGCCGCCTTGGGGGCATCCCTAAGCCCCTGGGATCATCCAGGCTGGACGAGCCAGGACCTGGCGACTAAGGGTCCCTAAGGCCAAGTTTTGTGACCTCCAGGCCCTGGGGCTTCCCAGCTGCTGGAGAAGATGGGGGGAGAAGAGGTGACCCCACCTGAGGCCGTGAACCTGGGGCACCGACCCCAGCCAGGCCCAGACCGCGGGAAGCTCACCTCCGCCCCACAGAGCTTCCCACAATGCAAGCAATTGCCGCAATTTCTCCCTGAGTGCTCTCGTTTCCCCTTAATAATCCCTGTTTCATCCCCACAATAAACAGTGTTAGAACTCTTCCCTTGGCTTTAAATACGTGTAATTGCTCTGGGGCCAGTAACAGGTATTAATTCCACTTATGCATTCCATAAACTTTTAGGATAACGCAATTGATACCAAGATCGTGTTGGGGCACCTCCACTATTATTTTCCTGCTTGCAAACCTCCGAGGGGCTGGAAAGTTTTCTCCCGAACCCATTAGTGTTGACTCAGCCGCATTCTACCCAGGAATCCCGTGTAGCACCTTCCACATGTTCCTCCTGGGGGCAGGAGGGGCGGCGCTCACACCATGTGGGCCAGCTTGCCCCTAGGAGGGACGGAGGAACACATACACACCCGCCTGGGTCTGGGGGCAGCTGGAGGTCCAGGCTGGCAGGTGGTCCAGAGGCCCCCAGTGATGGGCTGTGCCACTGCACCGTGCACACCCTCACCGTCACGCCCCATGGCTGCCCGCGTGGGCAGTAAGACTCAGCCCCCCGGCCCCCAGGTGCCCACAGGTGCCAGGCTGGGCTAGGGCTCCAACCTACCAAGCCTTCCTTCCTGACCTCAGAGTCCCCTCTCAAAACCTCCTGAACATCAAGGACAGCCCCTTCCCTGGTGAGGCCAAGCCTGAGAGTAGGATGAGGCTGAGCTGGGCTGGACAGTGTCCAGAGGCCCCCGCCTCCACCACCAGGCTACTGCCCCTCTCTGCTCCTCAGGACTCCTGTCACCAGCTGTGTCCATCATTACCAACCCATGGGAGGCCCCGGGATGAGAGTGGCCATCAGGGCCCAAAGGCCAGGCCAGGTCCTGCCGAGGGCCCTGCCCATGCTCCGACACCCACAGTGTCCTGGGGAGGGTGTGGAACAGGAACAAAGGCACCAGGTGCTGCCGTCCTTGCCCCAGTTCCACTCACCCACCAGTCCAGAGAGCATCAGTGCCCAAGGGTGCCAGCCCTCATTTGAAATCGTGATCTTTCACTGGATCTATCTCTCCCCAAAGCCCAGCTGGGCCCTGAAGTGGACAGCCTCAGCCAGGATGCTGGCAAGCAGCAAATGTTGGGGGGCACTCCAGCCCCTCTGGCCGCACAGTGACCCTGCCAGGCAAACTCCCATCTTGCCCTGGTCCCTGGTTTACAGGCTCTCTCAAGGAAGAGCACTAATCCCTCCTCTGGCTGCTCAGTGACCTGGGACCCACCTCCTCCTGGCCTTCTGTGGGAGGGGAGGGGTCCTTAGACCCTGGGTAGCGACCTGGAGGAGGCTGCATGTGTGTGCAACTATGTGTGTACGTGTGCATGCATGTGTGTGTATGCATGTGCACCGTGCACATGTGTGTATGTGTGCTGTGCATGCACATCTGTGCATGTCTGCTTTTGTGTCCACCTGAGTGTGTGGTTTTGCAGGTGTGTGAGTGTGCATGCATGCACGTGTGCGTGCACACACAGGTCTGTGAGCTGAGGGTTCCAGACCCTCAGTGCCCAAGGAGAACAGGCGGGTGATGTGAGGTCCAAAGGAAGCTGGTCACGGCAGCTGAACCACCCAGGGCTGGGGCGACCCGCAGGGGCCTGGGCCAGACAGAAGCCAAACACCCCCTTAACAGCTGTGGACACTTGGGGCTGGTGAGGGTGTTTCCTGAGCACGGAAAGGAGTGAAGGCAGCAGTCAATTTGGAATTGTACTTGAGAAAAATATGAATTATCTATCAGTTACCAGCCGGCTGGCGTGGCGGGGCTGCGCACAGCATGGCGCAGGGGCCTGGACAGCAAGTCTGGGCAGCACCCACGCGGTCAGACCCCCCGAGCTGTGAGCAGGCGGGCTGCCCGGCAGTCCCCTTCCTGCACCGCGAGCCACTGCCTGCCCACCTCCTCCCTGGACAAGGAAAGGAACCTGCAGGGGGTCTGCTCCCAGAGAGCTGAGGTGCCAAAAATCTCATTATCAATGTTTGTCCCACCTCCACCCCCTGCACCGATAAGGGCTGGGGAGGGGGAAGCATGGATGATGACAACAGCTCCTCCTCCTCAACGCAGCCCCAGGAGAGCATCCAGAGCATCAGAGGGCCCAGGCGGGGGGGGGGGGGGGTCCTCAGCGTGGCCAGCCCGGCCTCAGTTTCCTCATCTGCAGCCCTTGTCTTGTTGGGCTTTTCTGTGGATGAGGATCCCTATGGCTGTCCTCCAAGTGTGCCTTGACTTCATCCCCACTTTGCAGAGGAGAAAACTGAGGCCTCAGGAGGTGGAATCATGCTCTGGGTCAATAGTGGGGCTGGGACTCGGCCCCTGGGTCTCCTGCCTTCAATGCCCTGCTCTGCCCTC